ATAATTTTCGGATCACTAGACTTTCAGCTAGGAAATCCGAACAGATGAAAAGTTTTTAGGGGATAAAAATATGCCTATATCTACCGTTTGAATACTAAAATACGTTCAACAATGCTATGTTAAGTGGTTTTGAACTATATCCTCGTTGGGTGCCCCTGATACGAGACCATTGAATCTTCAGAAGGACACTTTAAGGATGTTATTTTTGTCAGGAACAGCCAAATTTTATGTCACATCTTGAAGAATATAATATAGCCTGTTTCAGGCTCCGAGATCGTTAACTCCAAGAAATTGAGACCACGAAAATAAAATGGGAGGAAACTGGGGGCGGAGTTCACGGAGTCCTGCATTGAGTCATGTCAAGACGGTCTCTTGACATGAGATGCATGGTACTGGGAGTTACCTTAAAGGCAAATCGGAAGCGTGTGGTTTTCATTGAAAAATTATTTAATTGAAAAATTGACGCCATACAATGATCCTGTTACTGATTTCCGTTACTCTGAACGAGGCTCAGGACCCTACTATGTAATATAGGCCCTCGATCGTTCTGTTGTACGGACCTCGCTGCGTTCCATTCATAGCACCAGGACCATTGTTACCAATATTACCCAGTACGACCCTTACGCTTGGTTAGCCTTCTAGGAGTTAGTAATACCAGTGATACAACTCCAAGATGTCATTCGTATTGTCAAATTTTCTGGCATTTCGGGCAATGTAAGATTTCTAAATCGTTTTGTTCGATTGTCATTACTTTAAGCCTCTATTATAAATCCTTAGTTTATGATAGATTCTCTTACAGTTCGATCTATGTGACAGAGAATTACAAATAGTTTAGTTTCACCGTTAACTCTTAAGTTAAATACGTATTTACGAAGATGTCTAAATTGCCGTCTATTTCAGTGGCTTCGGCCACAAAGTTTGTCATTCTACTTGCCATTAGTCTGCTCTTCGGCAATTTTCTTATTGTCGTACAATCTAATGCGATCTCCCCGAAACGATACCAAAAACTAATTGGTCCAGGATTTTCAACAAACTGGTTTAAAACAGCCCAGCCGATGGCGAAGTACAGTGAACAAAATATCATCGATGTCCGCAACAAAAACTTCTCTAACCTCAGATTACGATGCAGAGCAGATCTCTACTCCTACGATTACACGGCGACAAACTTCACTTGGTTTCTTGGAAACTTAACAACTGTTGTTGATCATTGTTTAAAAAACAAAGTGATCCCAATTATTTCGTGGATCCACCACCATGCTGAGGCATTTGCGTCTGAAGATGATCGCGTAGCTTACGTGGCTTGGTGGACAGCTGTGGCAAACGAATTAAAAGACAAGGACTATAAACTGAGTTTTAACCTCTTTACAGAGCTGGGAACAGATGATTGTGGAAACAATTGCGGCGAAAGTCTTCGTGAGAGATCAGACAAGTACAACAGTTGGACTTCCGATGTGGTGAAGGCAATCCGTGCGACAGGTGGAAAGAACGATCAACGAATTTTAATCCTTGGATCGCCAGGAAAAACAGCAAAAGATCTGGAAAAAATCGAGCCTGAAATCTACGAAAACGACGACTATATAATGGCCGAGTGGCATATTTATGCCTCAGGTCCAAACAAAAAGCCTGGCGGGCAAAAATTCTGGAAGAAAAATGGGACCGATAAAGGACGAGATAATGTGAAACTTGCCATTGAACCTGCGACCAACTTTACGCAAGATAGGGGAATTCTGACCTATCTCGGTGCATGGATGCCTCAAGACAACAAAGACGGAGACCTGAATCAGCAAGAGGTCATCAATTTTGCTCGCTATTTCGTGGAACAGCTTTGCAATGCAGGTGTACCGTGGTCTTTGAACGTCCTGGATCGTTATTATGATACCAAAGAGAAGAGGTGGTTGAAAGAAAAGCAGGAAATAAAAGGACGGTCCCTTAACATGTCAGAAGTGTTGGAAAACATACGCGACGTGATGCCAAAAGATGCGAAAGCATGTTATTGAAAACAGAAAGACCCAAAGACATTTAGGCTAAGTTCTTCTAGGTACTAGGAAAAGAGGACAGATGAAGTTTAAGAAAAGACAAGTGCAATGAAATGATAATAATATATATCGATGTAATATTTTCTGTTTATGAACTTTGATTATGAAAATACTCGTTTAATAATTGTCAGAATAATTGTATAGATTTAGCCAAGGCCAAGGTCACATGGAATCTTTTAAGAAATGTCTTTCTTCAGTAATTCAATTATTGCCATAATCATGAAATAAAATGAATTCCTCCTGAAAAAAATTAATTTGTTCCTGCAATCAGTTAAAAACTAATAACTGGTCAACGAAGAACTTTAAAAAACACGGCGTAACCTCAAACAGTTGTGCACCTGAACCTGCCGTACAGTCGTGTGACACTGGTCAGTCATGGCGATCGAGCAGACGTGTAATTTCCAGCTCCATGGCACCCCAAATAGGTTTGCACATTTCATCCTTGAAATTTAGCTCCAAAAACTTTTAGTTATTCCAAATACCACCACTTTCTCCAGTAATGGATTGTCATTTACTTAACTCTTAGTTATAGGCCATTTGCACGATGGCGTCATTTTACTACTACGACCAGAATCCTTTTCGTTTTTCCTTTCATATTTAAATTTTGTAATCCCACTGAGGTTTAAATAACAAAAGCCCTAATTTGCAGAAGAAGGCAAAACCCTAAAGGATTCTGGTCGTAGTAGTAAAATGATGTCATAGTACAAATGGCCTACTCAAATACTGTTAAAACACAAACATGACAAACAAATTTGCGGAAGTAGACTATAACTTAGTGAAATTTCGCTGTTTTAAATAATCTTCACAATTAAAATTATTACTAGAAGTAATCATTGATTAGGAATCCCAGTTCGTCACTTACGGAAACGAAATCGACTTGAAAGGAGTCCAGTTTCCCGGCCGAGATGCCCCTGATAAAATTAATAGGGGAGGCTAATGGGCAGTAGTCCGCGATACCTGGAAAATTTGTGGCTTTGTACCACGGGAACACCAAGATTAGGATGCGATCTGACGACCACGAAAATATAAATTTTTCTTGTCTATTTTGTCTTAGGTCTTTGCATTTCTAAACGGGCATTTTCACAATACAGTCTCTTGTCCCAATATGTATATACCGGCTGAATCGACTTGGAGAAGACAATAGTAGACAATATATTTATCGTTCTATTCGCTTTGTTTTTTTTTGTTGAGGAAGAGAGGACAACAGTTAAATATAGAAGGAATAACAAGACACTCTGGTCAATTACAGGGCAAATTTTTGGTTTTTGTAGCCGATAATTCCATTAAATTACGATGTAACTTAGAAACAAGGATTCGTTTTGAATCTTTAAACCCAACAGTTTTGGGCGTCATGCTGTGACCCTGCCAACACGCGCTGTTTCACATCGTCAGCTTTCACCCCAGAATTCACCTAAAACTGTCTACAGCTACCCCACCTTAAAGCCACCTCCACTCTATCCCAACATGGCCCCCATTCATGATGAAGCGCTACACCTGCAAACGCAATGGTATTGATATTTAAGCAGGACGAAATTTTACGTTAATTGTCCATAAATTATGACCTAAGATCACAAAACTACCATCGAAAATTGGTAAAGCCGGCAATTGCACTGGAGCGGATTTCAACCAAATGGTAAGTTGAGCCTCTTGAGTTATGGGAAATTTTTTTTTTGAACTTTCCATCATTTTAAGAACAAAGAAATAATGATTTTCAATTTTTTTAAAGTTTGTTTGTCGGTCGTTTTTGTTTTTTCTCACATAAAATGGAACATGATCATCCAAGTAAAACAATGCACCTTTCTCAGTCTTCATTCATCGCTGCTGAAAACTCGATTAGACTCACTACCAAATATTGTCAAATATTGTTAAGACTTGTCTTTTAACCAACTGTACCATCGGCGGAACCTCAGTCTTCTAAACTGAACTTCAGATCCTTATTTTTACTGCGTTTGGCTGTGCTAGCATTTAGATTAATTCTCAGACGTAAAGTTTTCCCAGTTAACGCAATATAAGTTTATAAGAAGATGCTTATCGAAATCGTAAAAATTACCAACGATTCAAACACACATCATTCTGTTCTCATAAAACAACAATCTGAACAAAAACTTTCTAAGAAGAATGTGCTCTTTATATCTTGTTTAGGGTGATCGTCGTCTGCATTAGAAATTTTTATGACAGACGAATTTAAAAAGTTTGAAAACAACTCATCGACAAAAGATAAGTCAGGTTAGGTATAAAAGAATCACAGGATATCTTGAACTTGAAGTTCAGTTCCTGCTCTTTTTCGAACCTTCCTTTATAACTCAAACTGTTGTCAAAGTTTCCGCCGGCTTTTCACTTTACGAGCTTCAAGTACAAGTTCCTCGACTGTATTTGATTAAGTGTTTGCTAGCCTCGTAGATAGCATATTTTTCTTATGTTTCTGTATCAGTAAAAATACGTGAAAGTGAAGTCCATAAAGAAATCTTCATCGTACCTTCTATTCTTTGACCTCTTTTCTCCACACCAGTCACATTCATTGTTACTAAACAGGTCACACTGTGATCTGCCAGTCGAGTCGGAGAACATATTCTTTGACCTTGTGTTATGGCTTATTTCCACTAAGATGACAAATTTAATTCTTTTTGATAATTTTTGCTGTTTCAAAAAATATTGAAACAAAAATAAGTAGAATAATAGCCAGAATTCGATAAGGATATTAGAGCAGCATTATAGTTTCACTTTCCGAGGCCTGCTAAGGCTTAGAGTTACTAACCCGACGTTACTTCGATCCCTTTTGCACTTCTGCCTATTTTCGGTGGAAACCAAGCAAAAAGATCATTCAGAGGGCAATTTACCTTTCTCTTACAGTATTCGCGGATTTTCAGCATGTTTTTTTATGCCAGTTGTCAAAAAGAAAAAGGTAACTGAGATTCCAGATTTTTAATTTATATTACCCTATTTCACATCATTCTAGGTACAAGTATGAGACTGATCATATTGAAGTTTCTTGCTCTTCGACTGCTCTGCTTTGTCTGGTCTATCGTTCCGGCAACAAGAGCTCAAGCCAGTAGGTACCTTTATATTACAGCGCAGTAGTAGCATAAAATCCTAACCCCACGGAATTTCTGCAGTAAACGTACGTTAAACAAGTCGTCTTCACTGGCTTTCACTTTAAGACCATGCAATGAAATATACCCTCCAATTGTTCACTGAGTAACACAAGAAGCATTTCATCCTTTGTCCTTCTTTTCTGAATTATAGTGCTGAACTTTAATATTAGCTGTTGCATATGTGTTCAGTGTTTCTTTAGTGTTGACATTGATAATCATACGGATATTATGGCCTCTAAATTTTTGGATTTCCTTGACTCTCTTAATTTGGTTTAACATTTTTCTGGTCCAACTCACTGGGATAAATTACTTACTATGCAAATTACAGTGAAGAGTAAATGACAGTTATATATTTGTTTTGTCCTGGAACTTTTGTGCACTTTTTTCAAACCGGACAATGTAATGTTGGTATCCACCCTACACCTGCATTAATCTGAGTGTGTTTCATTTTCTTTTTTAGGCCCACCCCCTTGCACCCACCGTTATGATACGCTATTTGACTTTGAGACTGCATCAGAAGTGGCTTGTTTTCAAGGTTCTCCTGGAACCGTGACGCAATCCGCTAAAACCACTAACCCAGTGACTGTCAAGCATGGAAGCTATTCTTTAAAATGGGAACCTCGTAGTGGTTCTCTTAACCCAAACTTGAAACTAAAATTTTCATCAGGCTTAGAAATTCCAACCAACTGGCTTAGAAAGGGAGGAGTAAAAGTCTGGTTTTACAAAGAACGGCCATCACTAGGAAAAACCCTAAAAGTAGATTTTAAAAATTCTGGCATTCTTGTCGCTACTTTCACGGCTCATTTGGCCTTTGAAGGGTGGAGAGGAGTTTGGGTTAAGTTTCAAGAATGCAAACTGACCAGTACTAGCTTGGATAGACCGACTAAAGTCGATGAGGTGAACTTTGTACTTAGGGAGGCCGATACAATTTACATAGATTTGCTCCAATTTGTTAAGAGCATGGCAAAACAATCACGTGACAAAGTTGTTCCTCCCATCAGTCCATTTGGCCTGGATCTGTATGATCCCAGTAGCACATGGCAAATGGCCTACAAGTGGAGCCAACAAACCATTCCACCTTCACCTCCAACAATTGACGTCTCTAAAAAAATCAGTTTGGAAATGATCGAAAGCCGTCTGAACAACTGGTACTGCGATGAGGCGAAAACTACTGTCAAATTTCCAGCTGGTAGCTTCCTTGAAAGGCGATGGAATTCGCTGTCAGGACCTTTTAGGAGGGCACATGAAGATTATGACGATCTAGATTTCGATTCAATGCATAGGGTTATTGGACCACCTCTCTTCTGCAGAGACTGTAGATATCCAAAGAAGTTTGGAGAGATAATGGAAAAAATCCTCTTTCGTTTGTCGCTGGAATATTATATAAGGTCCCGGATCCCAGAAATAAGAGACACTGTCGCTGCCTATCTGAATGATCTTAACACTCCAGCAGCCAAAGAGAGTGCGTGCAAAGCCATTGCAGGTAGAGACAGAAATATGGTAAGAAAATTTAAAAGCTACCTTCCTGCGTCTGGACCCATTAGCTCAGAACAGGTAGAAAATGCGATAAAACAACTCAACATTCACCGTCTAAACAAGATTAACAACCTTCTAGATTATGTAAAACAACAAGGCCTTGCAGACGGAAGTGGTCTTGGATGTTTAGACCACGAATGGAATATAGATGGTGCTGGATTTATGCACTCTTTGTTTCTTCTTAAAGACTCTCTGCGGAAACCAGAAAATGATGCTAGATTGTTGGACTTGATAAAGACAGCCAAATGGTACAACGATTTTGGAGAGATTTATCAATCACCGACGTTTGAAATCAAAGGAACGACTGCTGACCGCATGATCACGCTGATGTTGTTTAGGTTGATGATTGTCCTGATAATGCCAAGTAATACTGATGACGATTTCAAAGCCAAAATTCGGGACATGGATGCTTTAGTTCGATGGATGAACAATGCTCTGGCTGTGAACGAAGGTCTTGGAGGAGTCATCAAACCTGACTTTGTTGGGCATCACCATAAAGCTTTTTATGGATCCGCTTACGTGCCGCAGGCGTTACATACCGCAGCCTTGGTTCACTACCTTCTTGAAGGAACAGCATTCGCTTTATCAGCGTCGTCTGAAAACAACATCAGGCGGGGACTTGAAACTATCCGTATCATTGCAGTGAAGTATTCCACACCAAACAGTGTTAACGGACGTATGCCAAATTATGCTAACAAGTTAATTCTAAAAGGTCTTTTACCTGCCTTCGCTTATATCAGCGTTTCACATTCTCTTATTGGGCCTTCAGAAATAGCCGGTGGCTGCGTAGCTAGCGCCAATAAACCGGAAATGTTTTTGAGGTTATATAAGGATCCATCCGTCAACAGTTATTTGGAAGATGGAGGTCACAAAGGGAAGTACTATTACAACAGTTTGGGCTCTCTGGACATCATGGAAGCGGTAAGTGCTAGCTCCTATATTTTGAAATAGCTTTCGGCTCCCACATTAAGGTTAACTAACTGCCCAGCAAAGTTCAAAGACTTTTCTTTCATCCTCATTCCGTCGTATTTAGAAGCTGAATGAATATGATCTAAGTATTTATTTTGCACAATACATTCAGACTGTTGCTGGCTCAAAAAAGAGCAAATGTTTGGGAAAAGTAAAATATATCCTGTGGTCACGTGTTGATGGACCTGTTCAGGCGACTATAATTCTACGAAATATCCACATACAAATCAAATATCCCGAATTTCCCGATATTAAATTTATTGTTATTTCTGCAAGAGCAAAGGGTAGGGTAGAGTAGTTTTGACATGATATGTTTTAATATGCTCATATGATCCATCGAATGTAGGTTGAAACCATCGCGGAAAACAAAGGCATTACTCCCGAGTCCTCCCCTGAAGGTCACTGGTCCAAGAATTTTGCCGTTCTATCCATCCATCGACGCAAAGATTGGGCGGTAACAGTGAAGGGATTTAATAGTTTTCTCTGGGATTTTGAGAAAGCAAATGATGAAAATGTTTTTGGAATGTTTGGTAGTCATGGTGCTCTTCTGATTGCCAACAGTGAAACAAACCTTGAAGTACATGACGTTGAAAATGGCTGGGATTGGGCCAAGGTCCCTGGAGCAACAACTATTGCTTTAGAAACTGACCCTTCCTCGGGTACAAAGAACTTTGACGACTTAAAATTACCAAAGGGAAGGTTTTACAATCCAAAAAACCTTGCTGGGGGTCTGACGTTTAAGGGTACAAGCACATTGAAGAATGGCGTTTTTGGCATGGATTTTGAACAGCCAACTTATGAACTGGAGGCAGCAGATTGGCGACACTCCGTAACTTTTGAATTTAAAAAATCAGTTTTCTTTTTTGAAAATTTGCTGGTTTGCCTAGGAAGTGACATTTCAGCATCGAACACTGCTGGGAGAATTGTTCAAACAACGCTCTTTCAAGACAAAATTACAGGCGGGTTGTCCATTAAGATAAACGGTGCTGTAACGACATCTGCTGCTGCAGTAAATCCTTCAGTCCCAGGACGACTTTATACAACACTCACTGACACCAAAGACAACTTTTACTACATTCCAGATGGCAGTAAAGGTTTATTAAAAGTCCACGCTGCTAATCAGGATTCCTGGCTAGAGAGCGGAACACCATCGAGCCCAACAACAGGGATATACGGTACTGCATGGTTTGATCACGGTGATTCGCCCTCTGGAACCTCATCTGAATACGAGTACGCAGTCTTAATTCCTACTACATCATATGATGCAACACCAAGTGACCTTACAACTGCCCAACAATCTACAGGATCGAAAGTTTACAAAGTTTTACAAAAGAATGACGTTGCTCATATCGTGCAGTTTCATAGGTCGACAAAGTCATCTCCCACATCCGCTCTCAGCCATTTTATCACTGGCTACGTCCTTTTCCCTTCAGCGGCACCAGTATCACTTACTAGCCTTGGTCCATTGGCGGAAGTCAACTCGGGAGATTGCCTTATCATGGTCGAGGAAACTTCAAAGTTTATTCACCTCAGCATTAGCTCTCCAAGCTTAAATCTTGCAAGGAAGTCAGGGGCAACTCCTTTGACCAATTCTGATGACGTGGGGCAAGCGGAGTTGTACCAGTCGTCAAGCAGAGAGCGTGAAATTGGGGTTACCTTGAGAGAAAAGGTACAAAAAAGTTTCGTTTCCCTCCAAACTCACGGCAACCCTGATAGTTACAAACCAAACGTATGGGTGGATACCAGTGGCTTAAAAGTCACCTTTCCAAATCTCAAGAATGGTTTCAGTGTTGAGGTTCAACTAAAGAAATCACCAGTGCCGTGACTCTCAAGTAGGCATTGGTTTCATCCGTCACATATAACAAATCATTTTAAAAGTGATAAATAGGCTTCTGGTTTTGATAGGCTTATAATATAATAACTAATTGTTTAGAAAACAGGAATCCACTCACTTAAGAGACCAGCTCCACCCTTTCCGCCTTCACAATCTTAGTGTCGGTCACAAGAATTTCCTTTCTTCTAGCCCGTGTCTTCCTCTCAGAACTAGCCTTGCCTTAGTTTTCAATGATATTCCGACCTTCAAGTATATCCATGCCATGCGAAAAGCAAGACATTTATCGAGCGAGAAACAACTAGCAAACCTTTCCAACGGGGTAAACCACATCAGAAAAGACAAAAGGTTATGGCATCAACGACGTTACTGTATTCCTGCCCTCGTTAATGAGATTGCTATCCAAAAAGTGATCTAACCGGTGCGCCCTATACTACTAATATTAGAATCTATGTCAAGGTTTTTAAATTGTACTCAACAGGTATTTACTATGATGTTTATTAAAGCCATTGCCGAAGCTCAAATTCCATGTATGTTTTTTTTTGTCTACTGGAGGGTTTGGGGAATCCAAATTTCGTTGTCCGTTGTCAGTTAAAAATTCCCGCCATTGCAGGTTATCGGTAGATTTCAGGTGAAAAATGCAAGTTAATTAGTCGACGGTGACATTTTACTACCGGTAATCCCGTTTTTTCAGTAATCAGTTGTATTTGCCTCCGTTTGTCGTTGGTCAGATAACTCCATTCCAGACTCTTGTACTGTGTTGAGATTAACCATCTTGTGCTATTGGGAAATCACAACAAACGAAATCGTAAATGCAGTCATCCAACTTTTGAACAACTGGGTACCTACAGTTCAAATAACATGCGTTATTTGTTCCAGTTTGGTGTAATGTTTGTACTCTTCTGAATAATTTTTTTCTTTGCCGTTTGTCGACCAGTTTTTACCAAACACAATTCGTTTTCAAAAGTCCCCCGTTTAAATATCGAAGAAAGCAAAGCAAAGTATTTTCGTTCACACTGGCTTTTTAGCATCTTTTTCACCTGACCACACTATAACGGTCGGAGACGGTACCATCGAGCGAGACCTGGTATTACGCATGTGTGAAATCATTATCTCGATCCCAATTAATTAAAGCGTTGAAGTAATCATATGTGGTCCTTGGTAGGCTTTGTGCTTTTCCCCCTGCCTGGAAAACATTTGATTCTTAACTGCAAAGACTCAGTCAACTCGATGGGCGTTTATGTATCCCCACCTTTGTGGAACGAATTATTGTGAGATACCTGTCGTTACAGGAGCAGGTTTTAGAAGACAAAATTGTTATACCGTGCCTGTTTTATTCTACACACCGAGCGTGCCGCAGACTCGCAGCGCACACATTGTATTTTCATCAGCTTGGTCGCGGTATAAATAAAATTTGTTGACGGTTGACTACCTTTTTTTGTACACAATCCCGTCAATCAAGGGGAAAAACGATAAAAAAGGGCATTATCACCTTTCATGGTTTTACCAAGCCAATACACTGCAATTTATTTTATTGAAAAGTTTCGGTACCCATTATTCTAAAAGCTTCGCGAAACTAAAATGTCTTTTGCACATTGTCTTTGGTTTTGATATTTGACATTGAAAACGTGGTAGAGGTCATCATAGAAGAACACTGGTATCCTATACAAGATTGTAACCAGCCGGAGGGGGAACATCAGCTAGAAATCTACGAAAACGGCGACTATATAATGGCCGAGTGGCATATTTATGCCTCAGGTCCAAATGAAAAGCCTGGCGGGCAAAAATACTGGAAGAAAAATGGGACCGATAAAGGACGAGATAATGTGAAACTTGCGATTGAACCTGCGACCAACTTTACGCGAGATAGGGTAATTCTGACCTATCTCGGTGTATGGATGCCACAAGACAACAAAGACGGAGACCTGAATCAGCAAGAGGTCATCAATTTTGCTCGCTATTTCGTGGAACAGCTTTGCAATGCAGGTGTACCGTGGTCTTTGAACGCCCTGGATCGTTATTATGATACCAAAGAGAAGAGATGGTTGAAAGAAAAGCAGGAAATAAAAGAACGGTCCCTTAACATATCAGAAGTGTTGGAAGACATACGCGACGTGATGCTAAAAGATCCGAAAGCATGTTATTGAAAACAGAAAGACCCAAAGATATTTAGGCTAAGTTCTTCAAGGTACTAGGAAAAGAGGACAGATGAAGTTTAAGGAAAGACAAGTGCAATGAAACAACAATAATATAATATATAATATTTTCTGTTTATGAACTTTGATTATGAAAAAAGTCGTTTAATAATTGTATAGATTTAGCCGAGGCCAAGGTCACATGGCATCTTTTGAGAAATTTCTTTCCTCAGTAATTCAACTATTGCCATAATCATGAAGTAAAATGACTTCCTCCTGAAAAAAATTACTTTGGTCCTGCGATCACTTAAAAACTAATAACTGGTCAACAAAGAACGTTAAAAACACGGCATAACCTCAAACAGTCGTGCACCTGAACCGGCTGTACGGTCATGAGTAGTATAGGAGAGACCGAATTAACCTCTTTTTTGGGGGGGAATCTCATTAAGGTGGGGGGGAATAAATTAACCTCGCTGACGTCATAGCTTATTGTATTGATCTCACGAATAAAATGCGCAGGAATCTCATAAAGATAAGGTCATGTGCTATTTTTAGATGGATGATGTCATGGTTGGTATAACCGGTTTGACAGGTTTCAGTTATTTTCGGAAGATGATGTCATATGTATTCCGGGGTACTATGATGTCATAGTTGTTTTGATTGGTTGACCGGAATTAGAAAGACGCTCATTGGCTGTCTCCTTTGACGAAGCATTCTGGTTGGTTGCCGTATTTTTTTTATTGTTTGAACGGCATAAAAGCCTGCTCACTGCCTTCCCGCATACTAATTTGGATTTCCTGCATACTAATTAAGTGTCTTCCTCCATATATAATGAAGTGGATAGGTTTACTAATGAGCGTCACTCTACTACAATAGGAACAATAGGCTTGCCTAGACTTGCCCGGGCTCTTTTAACGCTGATTGTAGAATCTATTCTATCTTCCAAATAAAAGCGAGCTCTCCGTTCAGCATGTTACTCTTGCAATCGCTTTACTAAGGAAACAAGTTCGCTTGCCTAACTAAAAATCCGGTTATAAACAAAACTGAGACGCAAAAAATGGAGCTCAAACTCTTTATTTCAATCTATTGCAAACAGTGCTCTCTCTATAAAATTACTTTATCTTGATGTCTTGTTACACGCTCTGTTAACCAGTAGTAATTTGCATCTGACTCATGCCTCTTTTGTGTTCTCGCAAATTAACAATCATACTTAAGAGCAGTTGTCTGTAAGATTCGAGCTATATTAAAAAGGCGCTGCCACACTATCTCACCGAATTGGCTAAAAATTGGCATGTAGACTTGATTTGAGGTCTTTAATAAGAAATAGGTCACTTTAGGTTCTAATTCCTCCTACTTCGGAAATTATCGACATGGCCGGTTTTTGGGTGCCTCGGACCGGCGCCATATTGGTTAATAGAAGCTGCTTTTGGGCCTTCGACTACAACCCTGTCTTCAAAGCTAATCTTCCTTTGCCAATACAGATTGAAAGAACAATCCCTCTTTATTTTATTTTTAGAAACTACTTCGAAATTGATAACGTTTTCGAAACGATCGATTAAACTTTTGGTGAGTATACTTTTTGAATTTTTTACACCCGCAAAATTAACAGAATTTTAAAGGCGTATATCTCTTTTGCCATATCGCATTGAAGCTTGCCAATCTGCCTGAATACTCACTGTTTGTAGTTAAATCGAGTTCATTAATAAAAAAATTGGGCAAATTTAACGGAGCAGAAACAAAAGTAATGAATGGAAGACTGTTCTAGCAACTTTGTCAATAATCTGTACACCGAATACTCGCCAGGTGTTGCCAAAATTACAATCGATAATAGAGTTTCTGTCTTTAAATCTGAGTGATCTGTGTAATAAAATTAGCCTCTGTAATATAATCGATAACTCTGCTGCGAAAAACAGTATAAAAAAAGGCAGATTGTATAAGGAAAAGGAAAATGAATTTGTTATGTTTATGCTATGACGCGTAAACAAAATTCAACCATCACAGTCGAACTGGAATTTTCCTGATTTTCCTCTAGTTCCTTTACCGAAACCAGAGCTTTTAAAATTAACCATAGTAATGAAAATTGAGATGTATTACCTTACTCGACGACAAAGTTGCCAGTTTCCACCTTGATCGAAAAAAAGTAATATTTTCCCACGCATATCGCGGATCGTCACGTTCCTTGCCTGGCGTTACAACTCACGTGAAACCGCCTGGTTTCAAACAACTGAACTGAAGAATCCGTGAAAATCTTAGCCAGGCAATAAATAATGGAAGTTGATATAAGTTATCATTATTAGTGAGCGAGGATCGATGCGATGATAGTTCCAGCTACATGTGTTTACAGCGTTTGAAGATTTACTCAAAACTCATGAGACATGAGCCCTTGAAATAAACATCATTACTTCCGGTTTTAAAAATTGGGAGTTGGCAAAGTAATGAATAGACTCATTCTACCTTGTACACCGTTAACAACGGTTCCGTGTACAATTTTCAGGTATTTTGCCTCAATCACGAAGCCCGTTTTGAGGTGATTCTTGATAAACAGAAAAATTGGTTTGGAAGGGGTTAAGAAGAATGAGGGATGAGCCCGGGACAACAAAAACCACAGTCACCCCACCGAAGGGCTTTAAAACTGTGCGCAAATGCCTCACCCTAGGGACAATTCCAGATTTTTGTTTCCTTGAAAAAGCTTAAAATCGCTAGACAATGCATGGACAACTCAAGACAGTCCTAATTCAAAATAAAGTAAACAGCAAAGAAAATTCAGTTAGAGACCAGAGTGTTTATCCGATATCGCGAACAATAAGGAGTGATTGAAGATGTGTCTGCAGTTTAAGGTAAAATCATTTACCATGCTCACGGACCTTTCGACAACATAAGTGTACCGATTGACGTAATATCAGTGGTAAAAAACGAACGCTTTTTACTGTAGGACGATGACGTCATCATACAAAAGGCGTCTTCACTCTGGCATCCAGAATTTCAAACAGTCAAAACCTAATTTTCTCTGCTCGTCAAATGAAAAACGCCTCTGAGGGCAAGTAGTGGTAATGTGCTTGTTAGTAAGACGTCCAACATAAGGAGACATTCATAATCAACTCGGTTAATGCATTGATAAAGGGAACTTTACCCTTAGGGACAGAGTTCAAAGGCACAAAAGATTTTTAGTTCAGCTCTAGCATGTGTTGTCTAGCGATTTGCCTTGAGTTTCTCTAAATTTTCCAGATGGGCACAAGCTGTGCCCATCGTACATAATCTTGTCTGGGCTCCCTTGAAAAATTGCAATTCATCAGATGCCTTCAAGTTCATCCTCCGCCGCGACAACTTCGTGATCTATTGTAATGGGTGGTTTTCTGGAACTATCCTATGGCTTGTCCTTTCTGGTCGTCACTATATTAGCGAACATGTTTCAATTTCTCTCCAGCAAAAGTCTCTATCAGGAGCGTAGCCAGGACTTTCCAGGTGTGCGGAAAATTTCCAAAACTTACCCTAACATCTTACTCAGTTCTCTCGCAACGTTTCCCCACTACATTTGCTAATTCTGTTAACTAGGTGAGGTTATGCGTGGATGAAATGGCACTTGCAATCGGTGAGAAAATTAGGTTAGACACTTTACCCTCATAAAAAGGACGACTCTCACGTTTTGCTGACACTTTCTACCTTAGAAGAGATAAGTGAAGCTTTGCCTTCCCCACTCCGTGTAAAAAAATGTCGTTCGGCTGTTCAAACTACTTTTAGAAAACAACAAACTTCCCAACTTTAATTTTTAATAAAGGTATAAGGGTAGGAATCCAAATTGTTTTGGAGTATTTCACTGATTTTAACACGATGATTGTAAAGTAGTGTCTAGTGAGTACGGGGGCTAATGCCCCATCGTAAAAATCTGAAATTGAAAACAAAAATCTTGTATAACCGAGTAGTACACAATTTAAGTTATTTTATTGAGTTGTGAAAAATCACAAATTTGTTTCTTCTTGAATGTGTTATACTCTCATCCATTCAGTCTTTCCGATATGTCCGTCGGATAGCGGAAGTTAACGCAAATGATCGATTACCTGAAAAGAAGCTACCATCCTAACTTTCCACCTTCGGGTCTTTTCCCTAGCCATAATTTTTTTCCCTCAAGGAATTTTTCTCTGTTTTACATAATAATTGGTCTTGCATTCAGCTCATCGATTTTGAGAGCCTAGTCCTATGCCGTATTCTGATGCGATCTACTTTATGTAGCTTTCCCCCCATCTAACAGCTCCTTACTGAACAAAAACGGCTTTAATTGAGTCTATTCAAAGAACTAGCCAATATTTTTCCAGCGGTAAGCACAATGTTCCTAATTCCCCCTAGTCCCTTTCTTAGACGCTTTCATGTGCATCAGGTGTTAAATTTTCTTTTCATAAGCTACAATGCTCATAATCGCGCATTCTGATGTCATTTATGTTTAAAAAATTAAAAATTAGTTTATCGAAGAAAGAGTGAATTAAAGGTATCATGAGGCGTTTGTGATTTCATGAACTATTTGACGCGGTCCTTTTCTTACGGCTTATGTCCGTTGGTGAAATCGCTACTTGGGTTTTCTTGGATTGAAAAGGGCGGGCTCTTTCTAAACGTGGCGTTGTTTATGGGACCTTAGTATTCAGAACAGAATCAGTCGATGGCAAACAACGAAAAGGCGTTTATGTGGTAAGTTACAGTGATGAACCTTGCCTCGAGATGGTCATATTTTTGTACATACCTTCATGCAATTCAGTGTTGGTCTGAAAATTTTTTTGTTATGGATGGGGGAAGGTGGGGGGAGATCAGAACATGTACCTCGTGTTGTTTACGAGACATTAAAGTAATGAAAACTGTTAAACAGTCTTCTACAAATCAAAATAGTTGCAAATGCTTACGGGAGGCCCTAACTATATGATGATAAGAAGGGCTATATTTGGAAAGGTGCATGGTCGTGGAGTTAAGGAGATTTGACTAATCAACCAATTTCCCGCTAAACATAAGGGCGTGGCCAGTGGCTCCAAAATTGTGTTCGCTCGCCCCGGGCTGGTTCGACTTTTGGGATACGGTTATGGGGTTATAAACAATGAGTTCATCATCTATATAGCCTACTCGCCCCAAGTGACTGCATTTCGCTTTTCAGAGACCCATCAGTTACTGTATGACCCTCTCCGATCAGATTTTATGTCCGTGGTACTGGTGGTGAGGTCAGTCTACAAGCAGAGTCGTGAAAAACACCGCCACTTGAGCCTTTACGTTCAAAACATTCCTGGCTATCGGGAAAAAAAGAAGGAGCTTTTAAAAATACTAAATAAAATGTCATTTCAAATATCACTTTGTCACCGTTCGAAAATTATTGTGAATCAGACCGAATGAAAGTTCACTCAAAGAGGGGAGGGGAGGGGGTTGGTAGTTCTTAACAGTTCCAGTTAGCTAGAAAATTAAAAGTTACGAAAAAATAGTGGGCGAACTGCAGAATACGTGCAAGAATGAGAAAGAAAATAGAAAACAACTTCCTGTTCAAATTCGGGTGAAACGTTTAATAGCGTCAAGAAGACTGAACTTGATTGAGGGTGTTCATTTCAGTTCAGTTCCAGCGTGCAGTTCCTTGTCCTCCTAAGAATAGCTTCGTCTCCCACCGATCATTCCATGTCATATTTTGCGGAATTATTATTCAGTAATGACGGTACGATCAGGTAATTTGACTTGATGAGTTCTTTAATTTCATTTCATGTACTAGTTTTATATCTTACGCTGGAAAGATCTGCCAAACAGTGTACATTAGCAAAGGTAGGTTCCTGTTTACACGTGTAATTATCGAATACCATACAATTTGCATAAAGCTACAGTGCACGGTTGGTTTTTCTAGCCTTTTGATTAAAATTGACAACGTTTGCGTTATCTTTGCCTAAGAAAATAGTAATTTGTAGCTGTATACAGCGAAATACTACAGAGAAAATTGTAACTGTGCAGTACACGAGCGGCTCCCGATTGGTCTGGGAAATCGAAGAGCGAACTTGAGCTAGTACCGTGTGTAACAAAATATATAATTTTCATTTTAGCGCATATTTCAAGCTCTTCGCAAGATCAGAATCAAAAGATCATCTGTTTACATTACAAGGGAGGGTTTTTAAGCGATAGATAGGGTTTAAGAGGCACGATCAATTTTTAAAGAATTTTCTTTTCAAATATTCACCGAATTTTGTTTTGAAGTTTTAGCGGCGAAGTGGCTGAACCACTGCGCATTCATGCAATCATATTTCTGTTCCGTTGCATTTGCCCAATTATTTTATTCAACAATCTAACTTAGCTATAAACAAACTATGTTTAGTTAAAATGGCTTAGTCTAAATCGGTGTGGCATGGGTGATATTGGCCTTCCAATTTCTACCAAATTTGTGTACCGTTTAAGTACCGAAAAAGTGCTGTGAGAAGTTATAGCCGTTCGTAGCTCAGGCTTAACCATTTTCAGGTAAGAATAGGTAAATGAAAGGAGGAAGGATAGTTCTTTGCAACTGTATGAGTCACGATTAAGTTATTTTAATGATAAGGCTAGAATTAATTACTGTAAATCTCCTTCGGTTCACCAACATGGCGGCCTCGTCAAAACTGTCATTCCTGTATCTTTGAAACCAACGAGAATTCGAACCTTAGAATGTGCATTCAGTATTTAGGACACCATTCTAAGACTACATGCCCAAAATCAGCCAAATCGATGAGGTACCGTGTCAGGCCGAAGTTCGAATTTTACAGAAAATCACTCTTAAGTCCTCTAACAAAAAGATAAGGTACCGTTTCATACACAATTGTTAGGTTTATCGAAAAATAAAATATTCCACTGCACAGTGCATCGACAACCGTTTAATTAATTTGTTATTGGTCTATCGAGCATTCGTTTGCTTCTTTTCTAGGAAAGATCTTACGCTGGGATCGTCCTTGTGTAAATAAATCCATTTCGATTTTCCATTGCAATAGTGTCTTATTTTCACAGGCCAGTAATTTCCATACGAGTACGATGGAAGATACGGATCATAAAGATGTCTGGCAATGCGGTACATTTCTGTGATCCCAAAGTCTTTTGGTGGGGTTTGGCATCGGGGCGCTCCTTGCATATAATTTTGTACAACGGGATAGGCTGCTTCAGACCAGACTGTATCAAAAGGAAATGGCCGTGACCTTTTTACAATTGGTGGGGAAGATTTCACTACAGGAGGCGATTTTACTGCTGATCTAGCTTCGCAGGCAATGTTCTCCTTGTAACTGGTCGTTTTGACGGTTTCGACCGATTTTGCGGGGCTGTTAATAGTCGGATATCGACGACAAGAGCCGAAAATGTCGCTCAATACTTGCTTATCACTCGGCGTGTCCGGTTTATTATCTACAAAGATGTAACCGTAAGGCCTCTCTGTTTCCTGATAATAAGCTGTCATGAATCGTTGGCGATTCTTATCAAACATACGCTCAGCAACAATTCCGATTTGTTTCCGATCGCTAGGACTTCGGAAAAGAGCCATGTACTGTGCATTCCGACTGATATCGGTGTTAAATTTTCCCTTGGGGAACATATTCTGAAGGAGCAGTATGACGCTGGCATTTCTATGGCGACCTTGGGTAAACAACCGAGAAACGATGGGGCTTTCGATCGCTTCTGCCATTAGATCATCAAAGATGATAACGTTGTTGTATTTTGAGTCAATTTCTCGCAGATCTTCTTGAAATGTGGGAAGGCCACGAAAAAATTTAATGTCCTTTCCGATCGCTGATTTCAAAGCTTCGTATCTATCTTGCCACTGACTGTAATACCATAAAATGCGACGGGGCTTGTTGGTTTCGTAGACAATACGATCTCTCGTTCGAATCTGTTCTACGAAAACTGTTTTCCCTGATTGACTTGGTCCAACCACAAGGAGTGAGAACTTATGGCGAAACATAAAATCTGGATAAGGCTCGGTTGCCAACGAACATCATGGGAAAGCTTTACCTTCTTCGCAGTAGAAGAAGTTTTCGGCGTTTCGTTTACTGGTCTTCTTCTTTTTCTTGGTTCACATATTTTTCTCGTGGAACTAGATGAACAACGAGGTAAGTCGACGCTTGCAGAAATATATTCTCTCTTTGATTCCCAAGAAACCTTAGCCTCTTTTAAGAGTCGTGTTAAGTCATGTTGAGCCCGGTTAAGTCATGGACAATTTCAAGATGAGAACTCAAGTTGGACACACCAGGTTTGCCACATAGCGGACAAATTCGAGGAAACGTTCGAGGCATGACTGCTTATGAAAAATGACTCACAGTTAACAGAATCATTTAATATATAGTTATTTTACAATGGTGGGGAGTACTTAAGAGAATTCAGGGGTACAGGACGGGTACAGGAGGGGTACAGGAAGGGTACAGGAGGGTTACAGTAGGGGTACAGGAGGGGTACAGTAGGGGTACAGGAGGGGTACAGTAGCGGTACAGGAGGGGTACAGGAGGGGTACAGTTGGGGTACAGGAGGGGTACAGGAGGGGTACAGTAGGGGTACAGGAAGGGTACAATGAAAGTTCATAGAGTTCCGTTGTGCTTTGCAGCCTTGCCTCCATCGATAGCTATAAAAGAAGTAAGCCGCTGTTTCTGATTCAGTCAGTTCTTAAACCTCGTGCAGTTCGGATCACAATGTTCAGCAATTATAATCATTTCGTTCAAAAAGGATATGGAAATTTTGAAGATGATGACGACGATATTGAAAGCTCACAAGAAAGCGAACAATCATCTCAAAGTTCTCAATCTAGCGAAGAAATGGACTCTTCCGGAGAGGAGGAGGAGCATGTAGATCCTTGGTCACGCATTCAAAATGAAGTTTGTAATCGCCACGAAGCCCAGCTCGAAGCTCTGATCAACGAGTATGAACAAAACGGAGACTCGCCTGAAGTGGCCCGCATTAAAGCTGAAAATGCTTTGCTTCCAGTATATAGAAAGGAATTGAGAAAAGTGTTCTTAGCGGAGCTCTCGCGCGCGAAGCGCGCCAGCGGAGCACCATGGGTAAGAAAATTTGGTAAACTATCCATCCGATTAAATTTGGTTATGACGTAGCGTACGCCCGCCCGCCCGCCCGCCCGCCCGCCCGCCCGCCCACCCGCCCACCCGTACACACACTTCATGTAAGCCGATGTCAAGTGTCACACTTGTCAGGACCGTGAAATAAATAACAACGGAGACTAATGCCGCTGGAAGACAAACATGAAAATTATATAGCGGCGGTTAGAAAATGAAGAATGCTAGCGGCTGCTAATGTGAAGAAGCAGCGGCAGTGAAAAAATAGAATGAACAGGAACACAAACATTTCCTCCATAAAACGCGTAGATAGGAAGCTAAAAGAAGTTTCACGTTAGTCGTGTAAAACAACGGTAAGGAAATGTACAAAAAAAAAACTGCTGCACGTGCAGAGTTGTTTTTTTGCTAATTAGAAAAAAAGTGTGCTGCACGTGCAAAGTTGTTTTTTTGCTAATTAGATCTATTGTTGTTGTTTTTAGCGTTTTCGTTGCTTTCAACTTGTCTTTAGTATTCATCAATTTTATATTTTCTTTGAGGAATCCATAAATATTAAAGAGAGCTTCGCTTTTAGCCCTGGCTAAATCTATATATTAGAGTTTTTACAGTGGATGCATGCAATGAAGAAAGATCCGACATTCCGAAAAGTGATGGAAACCCGCCAAGATCTAAAAGACACAGAAGGATATGACTGGCTGGAATCGACAGAACTTGCCATCGATAAGCGGAAATTCTTACTCAATCGATTGTTTGTCAAACAAACTGTTCCCGAAGACTAAGCCGGAACTCTGTCTATTCATCTATTGTTGTAACACTTTGATGGTTTTGTTATCAATAAATGTATTTTTTAACCGAAAGAAAGGTGTAGTCTGGTTGTAGCACGCGCGTATTAATCCCGCCATTGTTTATATATAATTGAGTTGATTCCCGTGGATAATTTATGCGACAAGCGTTCATGTTGGCTCAGTGTATATTAAATTAGTTTGCGATGAATAATAAAATACAGTTCGCTTGCGTTCGTTTTGTTTCGTATGGTACAGGTCTAAAAGGAAAAAGGCCAACCTGTTAATGGTTAACGCTCGATACCACAGTCTAGAAACGTTTGAAGGTTGAATTATATTGACAAAACAGAATCAATGGTTTTGTAGAATAAAAATATTTATCTCTGGTCACAGTGAATAGTTTTAAGTCGAGTACTGTTTTCGGACCGTTGACTAGTATGTTTGGAAGCTATCCGCTCAAAAATATTATTTACTGGAGTTTGTGACAATAATAAAATGCTGAACGGAGAGCGCCCTTTTATTTGGAAGATAGAATAGATTCTACAATCACCGTTAAAAGAGCCCGGGCAAGTCTAGGCAAGCCTATTGTTCCTATTGTAGTAGAGTGACACTCATTAGTAAACCTATCCACTTCATTATATATGGAGGAAGACACTTAATTAGTATGCAGGAAATCCAAATTAGTATGCGGGAAGGCAGTGAGCAGGCTTTTATGCCGTTCAAACAATAAAAAAAAATACGGCAACCAACCAGAATGCTTCGTCAAACGAGACAGCCAATGAGCGTCTTTCTAATTCCGGTCAACCAATCAAAACAACTATGACATCATAGTACCCCGGAATACATATGACATCATCTTCCGAAAATAACTGAAACCTGTCAAACCGGTTAAACCAACCATGACCGCCACAAGATAAAAATAGCACATGACCTTATCTTTATGAGATTCCTGCGCATTTTATTCGTGAGATCAATACAATAAGCTATGACGTCAGCGACGTTAATTTATTCCCCCCACCTTAATGAGATTCCCCCCCCCAAAAAAGAGGTTAATTCGGTCCCTCCTATACTACTGTCATGTGACACTGGTCAGTCATGGCAAGCAGACGTGTAATTTCCAGCTCCAGGACACCCCAAATAGGTTTGCACATTTCATCCTTGAAATTTAGCTTCAAAAACTTTTAGTTATTTCAAATACCACCTACTTTCTCCTTTAATGGATTGTCATTTACTTAACTCTTAGTTATTCAAATACTGTTAAAACACAAACATGACAAAGAAATTTGCGGAAATAAACTATAACTTAGTGAAATTTCGCTGTTTTAAATAATCTTCACAATTAAAATTATTACAAGAAGTAATCATTGATTAGGAATCCCAGTTCGTCACTTACGGAAACGAAATGGACTTGAAGGGAGTCCAGTTTCCCGGCCGAGATGCCCCCGATAAAATTAATAGGGGAGGCTAATCGGCAGTGGTCGGTGATACATCGAAAATTTCTGGCTTTGTACCACAGGAACACCAAGATTAGGATGCGATCTGACGAACGCGAAAATGTAAATTTTTCTTGTCTATTTTGTCTTAGGTCTTTGCATTTCTAAACGGGCACTTTCACAATATAGTCTCTTGCCCCAATATGTATATACCGGCTGAATCGACTTGGAGAAGACAATAGTAGACAATATATTTATCGTTCTATTCGCTTTGTTTTTATTTGTTGAGGAAGAGAGGACAACAGTTAAATATAGAAGGAATAACAAGACACTCTGGTCAATTACAACGCAATTTTTTTGTTTTTGTAACTGATAATTCCATTAAATTACGATATAACTTAAGAAGTTTTAAATTTTATGGAAGCAAGGATTCGTTTTGAATCTTTAAACATAACAGTCTTTGGCGTCATGCTGTGACCCTGGCAACACGCGCTGTTTCACATCATCAGCTTTCACCCCGGAATTCACCTAAAACTGTCTACAGCTACCCCACCTTAAAGCCACCTTCATTTTATCGGAGCATGGCGCCCATTCATGATGAAGTACTACACCTGCAAACGCAATGATAATGATATTCAAGCACAATGAAATTTTACGTTGTACATAAATTATGACATATGATCACAAAACTACGATCAAAAATTGGTACAGCCGGCACTTGCACTGGAGCGGATTTCAACCAAATGGTAAGTTGATTGTCTTGAGGTATGGGACATATTTTTTTAGAACTTACCATCACTTTAAAAACAAAGAAATTATGATTTTCAAATTTTTTTAAAAAGTTTGTTTGTCGGTCGTATTTGTTTTTTCTGACATAAAATGAAAAGTGATGATCCAAGTAAAACAATGCGCCTTTCTAAGTCTTCATTCATCAATGTTTAAAACTCGTTTAGACTCACTGCGAAATATTGTTAAGATTTGCCTTGTAACCAACTGGAACCAGGGGAACCTCAGTCTTTTAAACTGAACTTCAGATCCTTATTTTTACGGCATTTGGCTTTGTTAGCATTCAGATTAATTTTCAGACGTTACGTTTTCCCAGTTAACTTACTATATGTTTAAAACAAGATGTTTGTCGAAATCGTAAAAATTAACAACCATTCAAACATACATCATTTTGTCCTCTTAAAACAACAATCTAAACAAAAACTTTCTGATGCCTTTATGGCAAGGGAGAATACGCTCTTTCTATCTTATTTAGGGTCGTCCGCATTAGAATTTTTATGACAGACGAAAGTAAAAAGTTTGAAAACAACTTGTCAACAAAAGATAAGTCAGGCTAGTTATAACTGAATCCAGGATATGTTGAACTTGAACTTCAGTTCCTGCTCTTTTTCGAACCTTTCTTTATAACTCAAACTGTTGTCAAAGTTTCCACCGTCTTTCCAGTTTACGAGCTTCAACTGCAAGTTCCTGGACTGTATTTGATAAAGTTCTTGCTACCCTTGTAGATAGCATATTTTTGGTATGTTTCTGTATCAGTAAAAATCCGTGAAAGTGAAGTCCATAATTAAAGAAATCTTTATCGTACCTTCTGAACTTTAACCTCTTTTTTCCACACCAGTCACACTCATTGTTACTAAACAGGTCACACTATGATCTGCCAGTCGCGTTCCTTGAACTTGTGCTATGGCTTATTTGCACTAAGATGTCAAATTATATTTAATTCTTCTTGATAATTTTTTATGTTTCAAAAAATATTGAAACAAAAATAAGTAGAATAATAGCCAAAATTCGATAAGGAAATTAGAGCAGCATTATAGTCTCTTTCCGAGACCTGCTAAGGCCTAGAGTTACTAACGTGACGTTACTTTCCCACAAACATGCCTATCCCTTTTGCACTTCTTCCTATTTTCGGTGGAAACCAAGCAAAGAAAATTATTCAGAGGGCAACTGCTCTTTCTCTTAAAATATTCGCGGATTTTCAGCATGTTTTTTGATGCCAATTGTAAAAATAAAAAAGGTAACTGAGATTCCAGATTTTTAATTTAGATTACCCTATTTCACATCATTCTAGGTACAAGTATGGGATTGATCATATTGAAGTTTCTTGCTCTTCGACTGCTCTGCTTTGTCTGGTCTATCGTTCCGGCAACAAGAGCTCAAAGTAGGTACCTTATATCACAGTTAGCCCAGTACATTGTAGTAGCATAAAATCTTAACCCCAACTTTAAGGCCATGCAATGAAATTTGCCCTCCAATTGTTCACTGGGTAACACAAGAAGCATTTTCGTCTTTCTTTTTTGAATTGTAGGGCTAATAACTTTAATATTAGCTGTTGCATATGTGTTCAGTGTTTCCAAGCTCATGACATTAATAATCATACGGATATTATATGGTCTCTAAATTTTTGGCTTTCCTTGACTCTCTTAATTAGGTTCAACATTTTTCTGGTCCAACTCACTGGGATAAATTACTTACTATGCAAATAATAGTGAAGAGTAAATGACAGTTGTATATTTGTCTTGTCCTTGAACTTTTGTGCACTTTTTTCAAACCGGACAATGTAATGTTGGTATCCACCCTACACCTGCATTAACCTGTGTTTCATTTACTTTCTTAGGCCCACCCCCTTGCACCCACCAGTATGATACGCTATTTGACTTCGAGACTGCATCAGAACTGAATTGTTTTCAAGCTACCCCCGCAGCTCCTGGAATCGTGACGCAATCCGCTAAAACCACTAACCCAGTGACTGTCAAGCATGGAAGCTATTCTTTGAAATGGGAACCACCTAGTGCTTCTCCTAACCCAAAATTGAAACTAAAATTTCCATCGGGCTCAGAAATTCCAACCAATTGGCTTAGAAAGGGAGGAGTAAAAGTCTGGTTTTACAAAGAACGGCCATCACTAGGAAAAACCCTAAAAGTAGAATTTAAAAATTCTGGCATTCTTGTCGCCACTTTCACGGCTCATTTGGCCTTTGAAGGGTGGAGAGGAGTTTGGGTAGAGTTTCAAGAATGCAAACTGGCCAGTGATGGCTTGGATAGACCGACTAAAGTCGATGAGGTGAACTTTGTACTTAGGGAGGCGGATACAATTTACATAGATTTGCTCCAATTTGTTAGGAGTATGGCAAAACAATCACGTGACAAAGTTGTTCCTCCCATCAGTCCATTTGGCCTGGATCTGTATGATCCTAGTAACACATGGCAACAGACTTACAAGTGGAGCCAACAAACCATTCTACCCTCACCTCTAACAATTGACGTCTCTAAAAAAATCAGTTTGGAAATGATCGAAAGCCGTCTGAACAACTGGTACTGCGATGAGGCGAAAAGTACTGTCAAATTTCCTGCTGGTAGCTTCCTTGAAAAGCGATGGAATTCGCTCGAAGGGCCTTTTAGGAAGGCACATCAAGATTATGATGCTCTAGTTTTCGATTCAAGTCATAGAGTTATTGGACCACCTCTCTTCTGCCGAGACTGTAGATATCCAAAGAAGTTTGGAGAGATAATGGAAAAAATCCTCTTTCGTTTGTCGCTGGAATATTATATAAGGTCA